CAGATGATCCTTAATGAATCCTGATAAGAAAAGCCGTAATAGAGAAAATAAATGAAATCCCGAAAAAGGCGTAATCAATGAAACTTATAAATTATTGGTATTCTAATTTAAATCTATAATGAGCCGTAATTTTACAATAATCTTCTTCATTCAATGTTTACTACGTAGATAAATATATTTAGGATTATTTTATATTTATCCATTTAGGTTCTTGTATAATATCTTGTATAATATGAATGTATTTGACCAAAAATTTCTGTTTGAGTATAATACAGTCTAGATCTATCAGATCCGAGCAACTTTAAACTACCATATCTTTGTTGAAAATCAATATTTTTTGGACACATTTTTCCCAAGGGATATAGAAAAGCTTCAAGTATAAGGTCGTAACGCAATAAAATTAAAATCTGCAGACAGATTTCCACTACTTTAATATTTTCTCGGACCCTTTACAAAAATTGGTGAGTGATCAAATATTCGTTTGGCTCCCACAGAATCAACATTGTATGCAGAGACTTAAAGTGTGTGAGGAAGGCGAGGTTTATTAACTAATTTATTAAATATTTATCACATATTTATTATTTACTTTTAAATCCCCATATTTCTACTTTAATCCCACTTTGATATTTGATCAGGTACAGTGTGTTGACTAGTGGATATTTTTCCTCAGTACGCGAACAAGACGCCGAGACAACGTCGTTAAATATTGTCTCCGTTGTCATAAACGACAACGATGATGACGACGACGAAAGAAAGTGATCGAGTTGCTCAGCGTTATTAGCAACCGTTCATCGAAAGACCGAAGTGATGTTTGCACGTCCCCTTTCGCGAACGCAATTACAGAGGCTGTTTCTTATACCTCTCTTTTCTCTCGTCACGACAGTTTCTGTCGCGAAAATATATCTTAACGTTACGAAAGTATACAAAACACAAATTGCTCGTCATGCGTTCAGCATCATAATTAAGTGATGCGAAAATACATCAGCGAAATTAGCAGCGGATTATTCCCTTGCGAGAGGCACCTCCAGCTTTTAATAAAACGTTATTCGTGACGAAGATAACAGTCATAATTATAATAATAAAATTCTTGTTAATATTCACGCGCACGTGTACAGAGGCTTCCAAAACGATGTAGTTGGAATGAAGTTGGAAGCACATCAAATTCTCAAAATTGAGAGTCACCAACAACGGACTCTTACGCGGTAATTATATTATTAATTATTATTATTTATATTGTTACTGTAAGTTGTACTGACTCTTAATTTTGACAGTTTGATAAGTTCTCAATTTCATTATGTCTAAATCGTTTTGCAACACTATTGTACACGCGATTAAAGGAATGTTACACTTAACAAAGTTCTATTGTAAATTGATTTGCACACTTTTTATCTGAACGAAATTGCGACATTTCAAGTTGTCAGAATTGAAAGACACTGCTAACGTGTATGCTCAATAATCGGTTAGGACTGGAGCCAAAGTGATAGCACAGAGTGTGACTTTTCATATAGAACAAAGAATTGATCCTAAATTACGAGAACATTATTTTGAGAAGCAGTTTTTATACATTTATAATCTATTACTACGCGTGTATGTCAGCAGTGGCTCTCGACAACTTAGAGCGCAATACTTGCAACTTCATTCGGCAATAAGTGTGTAAACTGACTGTACTACATACAGAAACGACGTTTCTGTCACTCTCTCTCTTTCACATCCCGGACGATAAATTCATTCACATCGCTCAGCGGAAGTCCCGTGGAAAGAAACGATAGAAGCAGCAGAAGCGAATCACCGGCGTGTGACACACGTGCGTGACGCAATCGAGTCACGAGAAACACGAGATGAAGATGTCAGTGGCCGTGCCGCGAAGCCAAGGGCGTATGCACAGGCGACTCGATTAATCACGCCATTTTTCATCGCGCCGTTAAACAGCCCCGGTATAATTATTCGAAGCTGATTTCACGGTCATGACGCGCTCCTCTCTCTCTCTCTCTCTCTCTCTCTTTTCCTCCTTCCCTCCCTACCTTTCCCTTTCTCTCTCTCTTGGGAGAAAAGGGCGCCACCGGTCGGATAGAGGTAGGCCCGCAGAGAACCTTTTTGATGCCCGACCACGGCGTGGGTGGGCCCAAAGCAGGTAGGCTGGGCCGGCCAGCCTCGAATCTGCACCGCGATCCGGTTTTTACGACCGACTGCCGTGGAATTTCTCCTCTCTCGGGGTTCCAGTCGCGCCGACGACTCCTGCGACCGTGCGACCCTTTCTCTTTTCTCTTTGTCCTCCTGCCTCGGCAGATCCCGGTAATTAATCGTCGGCGAATCGTTAAAATACTGACCCATAATCGCACAAACAGACAAGTGTATGTAAATTTGTAGTAACTTTATTAGTCGATATGTAAAGATCGCGTCCCTTCCTTCAAAGTGGTTCATATGGCATTCATTTTTCACAGAGAATAACAAAATGGAAATATGAAAGAAAGAAATGATGAGAATGTTGTGTAAAATGCGGTTCAACTAGAAATTTATTCTATGGTCCTGGTCAGGTCACTTCCAGTCGATTATCTGGTTTCTATGAAGTGATGTTTTCGGACCCTAATAAATCAGGTAACGCAGTGTTACAAGTAGAACCTTATTAACCCGTAGAATACAATCATAGGTCTTTCGAGTTCAACGGATTTTTTTCTTGGAAGTTTCTCGAAATGTCGAAGAACAAAGTGCAAAGTGCATTGTGCAAAGTTACAATTTTTTAAACCAAATCTTTCATTTCCTCGATCTGTGTTTCCATTTTTATAAATAAACTATATTACATATTATTATTGTCCAATTTTAATTATATATGTTTGTTCTATAAATTTTAAGAATATTCATGAATTTTTGCAGGTTTTTTAAGTCATTGAAGTAATCGTCGGACTTCAAAAACCCATGATTGTATCAAGGTGGTGCTTTTTTCACATTGTACTGTAAGGGTTAATAATAAGAATCATTTCTGGACAAAAGTTAATCTGGAATCTAAAAATAAAAATGTATAACCCTAATCCTAATATGAGCTTTGAAGGTCAATATATAGTACCGAAGAGTGTGTTTTCCAATAAAGTTTTTTTTTTGTAAAAAGTAGCCAAAATCAATCTTAAAATAATAAAACTAGATGTATAAGATAAATTAAAAATGTAACACATAAGTTAAATATTTAAGAAATCATTCGCTGTCAGTGCTTCGAGAACTAATATTTAACTTTAAATACCGATCCCGGGTCAAAATTTTGATTTTATTCTCAACCTTATTATTTCATTCAATACTTATTTTGATCTTCTGAAACCTACATCAATCTCTTTTGATTCTATTTAACCTATCCAAGTCGGAATTGTGACCCTACTTTCAGTCTCATTATTTCATTCAACACCTATTTTGAAAATTTTGATCTTATTCTCAACCTTATTATTTCATTCAATACTTATTTGGATCCTCTGAAACCTACATCAATCTCTTTTGATTCTATTTAACCTATCCAAGTCGGAATTGTGACCCTACTTTCAGTCTCATTATTTCATTCAACACCTATTTTGACGCTAGAAAGAAAGTGAAAAGCGAAATTTCGGAAATCATCAGATTAAAAATAGGAGTAAATTGTATCAATAAAATTAAACCTATTTTACTAACTTCTTATACAACGCAACAATCGGGATATAAGGCGTCTTAAAGATGTCTTAAATACATCCTAGAGACATTCCAACGTCTTTCAGACGTCTTATGTCCCGTTTTTAGACGTTGTGTTGTATTGCTGACCTCCTACTGCGTTGTAGAATTCAAGGTTTAACATAGGACGAAAATTTCGACTCACAAAGAAACTCACACAAGTGTCCGTCCGATTTTCATAAACTTGTAATATGTTGTACTTTAGATCAAAAGAACAGATGCTTTTTATTATACTAGAACACCACATAGCGTGCGCTTCGCGCGCGCCACTTTAGCCTTTTCGTTGTACTATTTAAAATTTATATTACAATACTCGTTTTTACAAATTATATTCCCAGCAAATACAATGTTACATATAACATACATGTTAGTTGTAATTTCCTATTCAACAATGTAACTGTTATATAACACGTATATTATATAACAGTTATATTGTTTGTTGAGTAAGAAATTATAACTAACATGTATGTTACATGTAACATATTTCAAATAGTCAATTTAGAAAAAAGGGAGAGTTTTTTTATTTACTGCCATTGTGGGATTTACTGCTTGAGAAGAATTTCTTTTTTCTCAAACATAAATGTTCTCTCCGTCTGAATACAGAATACTTTGAATTCTTTGAGATTAGAATGTATTATATCTTCGACAAAAACTCAATCTTGAAAAAGATAACATTGTTCTTGTGTGAATAGTTTTATGACCTGCAAAAGTGGTAAACCTTAAACAGTAAATAAACGATGACAGTGAATAAAAGAACTTTCCCTTTTTTCTAAATTGACTATTTGATATATGTTTGTGCTAGCTCTTACTGTTTGTCCTTAACTTTTTCTTATTGCAAACAAAATTTTCGAAAACTGTAAGCAACGGAAATTTATGATGTTTCCAGTAAAAAAAACCATTAGAAGCTGGAAAACATTTAACATATAAATTTATTTATTATTTACATATTTACATATTTTATATACATATACAGGTAACATTGTGTTTGCTGGGATTACAATAAATATCAAATTCATATGACGCGAACAACACAACCTGATCTGTCACCGCGGCTGACAGCTGCAAGTGGCACGAATTCAACTGCGACGGAATCGAGACAATCGAGACGGTCGAGACGGCCAATTAGTGTCGTGGGAAAGAGGCTTCACCTACTTTGATACATTCGAGATTTAGTTAACACGCACTTTTTCTGATAGGATGTGTCCTTTCGCAAGTTTAGGGGGTGAAATACCCCTTTGAAGAAAACCGGTTCAAAAAGTGGTAAAAGTGGTAAACAAAAAAATTTTTTTTCAAATAATTTCTGTAAAGTACTCTTCAAACCATTCAACTTTTATTCAAAATATTTTTTTCTACCTCTTATAGTTTTCATTATATTCTCTTCGAATGAAAAAAAATCAATTTTCTTCAAAGGGGTATTCACCACCTAAACTCGCGAAAGGCCACATATAATAAAATATGTATGTGTTATTTTTATCTAAAGTACAACATATTCCAAGTTCGTAAAAATCGAAAGTGGACACTTGTGTGAGTTTCCTTGTTAAACAGAAGCTTCTCAGGACAAGAGCTTCAGATTGCCATGAGTTTAGTATATTCAACTTCTCTCGATATATAATTTCATTTGATATCTGTTTCACTCAATTTGCGAGCAAAAAATCGCCCCCTTTTTTGGACAATCTCCTTCCCAGCTTTGCTCGCAACACACGCCGCAAATAGCACGCGCGGTCGAATTGTCGAACGGGTTTTTTTTTTTATCGCGATTGCTGTCGCGCGCCCATCGACACGTGTCGAGCGAACTGCTGTCGTTATGTCGCCGGAAATGATCGAGCTGTTTCGGCGTTCCGAAGCCAAATTCTCGATAAGCGTCGATCGGGTCGGGGAAATGCGGAAAACAGCGAGGCTTCCGTGCTGGAGGGACGCGACGCGGAATTGTCATGCGAAGGCGAGTCGCCGATAATAACCGCCGATAATAACCTGCCGCGATTACGTGTTGCGTCTGGCAACGCGCGGCCGTAACGAACCGGCTGGATTCGCGTAAAGTGCGCTTTATTCCCAGCAGATATACGTTTTCTCACTCGCTACGGCAACGGCAAAATGAAAGTTTTTGCTTCTTCGCGAGCTCTCGTCGGCCGGCAGGTCGGTGGCGGTCGTTCCCGAAGCGACGCAATATGAGAAAGCGCGTTCTCGCGCGATTTTATTGCCGCGGATATGCAGATGAAAAAAAGCACCAGCGCCATTAACGGATACGATGTATTGTGCGCGAAATGATAAAAGCGCGGGAATAGCGCGATAGTCTCCGGACGCTCGATTGCTTCCGTATCTTGGAGGGAAAGAATTCCACTCCGTGGAAAGAAGATTTCTTGGGATAATTTATTGACGTATAGTTTCGAAGGCACGGAGATAACCGGTTTTTTCCATTTTTCTGCGAATTTTTTCAGTTTCTTTCCCAAGGGTTGAAAAATTCGTTTGGAAGAGTTCATGTGTATTTGGTTAGAACCTACTACTTTTTTTCTTTTTTTTTTCATTGAGAGACTGTATATAAAAATGTAAATAGGTTAATTTTTTTTGAGGAGGGGATGCAGGGAAAAAGATTCCGTCTCATATATATGCATTATTTACCATATTTCAATGTACATTGCATGTAAAAATTAATAAAAACTCCCTTTATAAAACTTCTTTTGTTAATAACTTTTTACAACAATGAGCAACGTCTAAAATCTTTTGAATGTTACTCAGAAACATAGCCTTGATAACATATGTCAAAATCAAGGTCACAGAAAGTGGATCCCCTACTCGATATTTTTACCAAAAATGTATAGATTGAGTTAAGTTAGATTCTTTTTGGGGAGAGACCTTCCCTCGCGCATATATATGTACTGTTTACCATATTTCAATATACACTGTGTATAAAAATAATGTTCAACTTATAAAACTTTTTTGTTAATAACAAACGACGAGCGACGGTTAAACCTGTTGAAGAGTATTCAGAAGAGTGACCTTCATTAATATATTCATTAATATATCAAGAGATTATAGGAGCTGGGTTCTCTTTTTTTATCTAATAATTATTTACGAGAACGTAAGTGTGTGGATGTTTCATAGGCTATGCGGAATGCGCGCACAGCGAATGTGCCTATTAACAGGTCTCCTTGAGGTTTTCCAAAATAGCGTGGGGCAAAAGCGTCTCCTGCCTTCGATTTTCCGCGCGTGGCAGCTCGTTATCGCGGCGAGCGATGGCGCTATTATGCGCGACGAACTTGTAATTACCTCGTTGTAATTTCGCCATAGCGCGACGAAGAGCATCGATCTCGCCAAGCTCTTGCTAACAGTTTCGACCTTTTGCAGTTATCTCGTTTCTGACAACTCTGATATATGTTGTACGTAATACTCGAAACACTAAGTGATTAAAAATTGCGTAGGTATGTCATCACAAATAATTGAGTGAAATAATTGAGTAAAGTTCATACGATAAACGATCAAAATTAATGAAGGAAAGGTAAAATAAAGTAAAATGCAAATAGGTGAAGTAAAATAAATGCAGGAATGTTGTAAAAAAGTGATAAATCCACAAGTCAACGTCAATGTAGAGAAGATCGATGTGTGGAGGAGACTTGGTCAACTTGGCCATGCGTTTCGTTCGTGTATTTATTGTGTGAAAAATAACAGAAAACCCAGACAACATGAGCTCTAAAAACGACGCATAAGATGACTTTAAGATGCCTTTTAGTCATCTTTATGATATATCTTTTAGAAGTGTCATAAACATAACTAAAAGACATCTTAAAGTCATCTTGCGCGTCATTTTTAGAGCTCGTACTGTCATAGAACGATCTCATTAGAACATGAGTTAGAATATACACTAAGAAAAATAGTCTTGCAGTTTTAACAAAAGTTATCTAAATATGAGAAATTGGCTGAGATCGGTAAATAACTAGCAAACACTGCAAAATGGTATATGTTTTATATTTAATCGCATATATTTTATATTTAATTTTATTTATGTTTTATATTTAATACAGATGACAGAGACAGAATTTCTATTTAAATTATTTATGAAATTTTGTAAAAAATCTCTCTATGTAACGTCCATTCAGATTAAAACCAGTCTACTTATAAAAGTTGAAGATTAAACCAGTTTACTTATAAAAATTGAAGATTACAAAGAAGAAAAATAGACAAAGAAGATTAGCGAAGAAATAAACGAATATATAATTCTCCACTCACCTAAATTTACTCGCAAACATCGCTGCTTCTGTAAATTTTACGTAGCATAGATAATTTCCTAGCAGATATAAAAAACAGTGATAAATTTTAACTGTGACATTTAAAATTCAGGATCAGCAAAACATTTTTGTCAGTGCACACGTCGATGTAACATTGATTTTTTGATTTATTACTTCGCTACACAACAACGTTCTTACCCTCATTTGCCTTTTGATTCTCTTACGCAAATAATTAAACTAAATTATTTATTCATTTAATTAAATGATATAACTAAAAAGAAATTTTCAATATATTAAATGATATCATATTAAATTGATATCACATTAAATAATATTATATTAAGCTAAATAATGTTACATTAAATAATTCAACATATAAAATGATGTAATTAAAAAAAACCTTCAATATAATCCGAACACACAAACCACAGCTACAACTCTTGGAGCATTGCGTCTCAGCGCGAATTATTTCGCGATCTGTTTTCACGGCGAAAGAATCCATCCTGGGAACTGATTCCCAGGAGGCGCATAACATGCGCGGACACGCTTATCAGACGTTTCTGCGAGCGCTCATTCGAGTAACGTGTGTTGCACGTAGTGCGTTCACGATCGATTCCAATCTCCTAGGAAGTTCGTTGCAGGTGAACGCAGCGAGCGTTCCAATGCGAGCGAGCCGTACCGGCGCGGCGTATTTCGCGAATTCATTAAAGCCGCTCTCTCGCGAATGTTTTACGTAACAACTGTGTCGTGACGCACTCTCGCGATTGATCAACGTGGGGCCGGCTCGTTCGCGATACAAATTGACGTCCGCTCGGCTTTTGCGACAATCCCGACGCGGCGCGAATTATCCTCGTCAAACGTCAGGATATTACAACGGCGAGGGGGAATCGACATCGTCGATTCGCGCGTCGCCGATCAAAGGGAATTTTTTTTTCCGTTTTCGCTCGCCCACACCCGGCTTCCATTTAATATTTGCAAAATCGAGATCCGACCTTTAATAAAGCGCATCCAGCGCGCAAAAACGTCCCGACCCGATTAACGAGCCGCTCGATGTTATTCCACGTTAACCCTCGCAAAGAGATAACCCACGTTCCGGCGCGATGACAGGGGATGATATTATTTACACGTCCGATTCGCGCATCCCCGAAGCTCGCGGGCAAAGCGTATGAAACATGATCAAAGATTGATCGAAAAACCAGCCGACATAAACGTCATCTCGCGTGTAATTGGATTACTCCACCAAAATAGTCTTGCAGCGACAATTATCTAGATAAATTCTAGATAATTCTAAATAAATTCTAGATAAATCTAGAGAAATTAGTTAAGATGGACAAATGACTAGCAAACACTTGCGTATTTTTGTATTCAATCCATGACAGAGACAGAATTTCTATCTGAACCATCTGTGAAATTTAGCAAGAGAATCTCTCTGTGGCGCCCATCCAGACTAAAACCGGTCACGCTTTTATCAAAACTGATTGTGGTAGACGAAAAAAACTTACGACGAGTGACAAACGAATGTATAATCCACACACTCATATAAATTTACTTGCAGATATTGCTAAAATGCTGCTGCTGTGTAAATTTTACACAGACAATTTTCTAGAGGACACAAAAACAGTGGTAGATTTTAACTGTTTAAACATTTAGAACTAATAAAACTAAAACTGTGCTTGAACTCTACTTGTCCTTTATGTTAAATATTTAAACATTTAGAGTTAGTATTCGGACCAGCAAGACATTTTTTGTGTGATGATCACAAACACGCGACGCAGCGCTTCTACACACAGATAAATACATACAAATACAGTGAAATTAATGTTACTTGTTTCAAATGTTTATATCAAATCCATTATAAGTCATCGTAAGTATCAAATTTATTTAAAATACATTCTGGCTTCTCTAGTAAGTTCAGCATTTCAATCGAGAATATTAAGTTAAAACAAAAATTCGGTTTGCTCACTATATGAAGTTGGATCAACTTTTTTAGTTTGAAGTTCCATCATATTCTTGCAAAGAAAATTAATTCTTTGACATACATAAATAATAATAACATACATAATAATGAGCTTTTCAAAATTTATGAATATAGAATTATGAGTATAAAATTTTAATATATGAATATAGAATTTTAATATACTTTTCGAGCAGTTACTGGACAGTTTAAAATGAAACTACTTGTAACCCCAATCAAGATAGCGCTCTTCCTGCAATCATTTTACGCAAAAGATGCGTAAAATCTGAACCCCCTTACGAAACCAGAATAACACCTAAGAACGAGAACAGAACAGAATGGATAAAAAGCTATTTAATTTATTACTAATTAAATCTGCTGCTCATAAAAATGAACTCAATATTATTTCGATTCTTATATACTATTTAATTGAATAATTTTAATACTAATAAGTCATAGCGCAGGATATCTTTAGTATGTAATATATATTTTCATATTTCTTACTCTTTACGTGATATTTTTCATAATCATCAAATGAGATATATGTTCTTTTATCCATTCTTGAAGTTACATTATTTTATTAGGTTCTGAGTTTTTCATCTGTCTTATCATTGTCATCAGTCTTATTATTGTCATCAGGATAGATTGATGTGTTTCTTCTCATTGCAGTGAAATTCTGTATCATGAACATATATTCCATTTGTCTTACTCACTCTTTCTAGCCTTGGTTATCATCTACCTTGGTCATTAAACTTAATTTTGTCAAATGCCTTATTATTAAATCCTCTAATTTTCTTTTTTATTGTTTTTCTACACGTTCACTCATTGTTTACGCAATTTTAAGCTCCTTTTTAACAATCTAAATAAATATGTTTTAAATTTATTCACGGCAGACATTATCCCACACAGCAGAGGTGTCCAAAATATATCATAGGGATATCCTAAAGATATATTTGGGATATGTGATATCTTCAAGATATCCTTATGATATATTTAGGACATTTCTGCTGTGTGGGATGATACACACACAAATTGTAAAACTGCAAAAAATAGTATGTTTGGTCTACACATAAATCTGATTGGACCAACCATACTGTTTCCTCTGTGTGAATTAATAATATTACATCTTGGAAAGAATTAGCCCACATATTGTACAGTAAACTGCTCCAGCCGCCGAATGAAACTCTATCAAGTCCGTGTTCAGTTCCTACGCAGTATTTTTACAATTAGTGGGAATGCATTAATTTTAAACAATAACTGGACTAATGTCTACGCAAATTGCACACATTTCTCCCATCTTAATTCCCAACTTCAAAACTGTGTAATGAAGAAAATATTCTTTGTCGAAGATGACTTAAAAGAAGAAAAGTAAGAAAACCGAGTGATCGCTTTTCTTCGTAGCAGAATGATATTTTTCTGTATGTAATTTTAGCAGCGAGAGAATACTGTCTCACGGATTATACCGTTCGACAACAGGCCGCAGCGAATTATTCAGAACATTCGTGCATTGATCCATAGGTGAGTGCATTTCGTAACCACCCGTCCCGTCGTACGGTTCTCCGCGAGGTGTCCTTACGCGCTCGTCGTGTGTCTTCGAGCAGGAGACAGACTTCCGAAAAATTCGACCCGCGCGACTTCGAACAGCGGGCCGAACTTTCACTCGGTCGGCTCTGTCGTCGTTCTGCACGGCGGTCCCTCAGCCACGATACGAGGAGGCGACGCGGTCGCCACTCGAGAAGGGAGAGCGGACAGAAGCGAGGCAGAAGGAGAAACGCGAGAGAAGGAAGGAAGCGGGCTCGAGCGAGCAAGCGAGCAAGCAAGCACGCAAGCAAGCACGCACGCACGTACGAAACGACTACGAAACGCGGAGCACTCTCTGGCGCGGGAAAGGGAGAGGTTTAGTGACCTCGGTGTGTTCGTCGTCGTCCTAAGGAGAAGCAGAGGGAGTAGGACGACGACGGCGACGGCCACGGCGAGGACGACGACGTGCACGAGCACGGGCACGAGGCGCGACGACGCCGAGCGCGACGGGACGACGAGGAGTGGCCGAGAAGAAGAAGAGCAAATTGGTGCTCCCGGTAGCAGGGGCCCATGAGCGTCGTGGAGGAAACGATACGCCGCAGCGCGTCGAGGCGCAGCAGACACGGGCCGCGCGGCGGCAGCTCGGCTGGCGCCGATTGGCCCGCGGCGGGCTCGCGGGGCCCGGCCCAGCCGACCCCCACCATCGCGTCTACCAGCTCGTCAGCCTCTGCCAGGCCCCAGGACATCGTGGGCCCGACCAAGCGGCAGTCCTCGCGCGACAGCAGCGTCGACTCCGCCGGCCAGCACACCCCACCCGACCAAGCGGACCTCCTCTTCAAGGTCTGCCGCCTTGCCCCCTGATACACGCGAACGCTAAAGCCTAATCTATAAGTCCCGATCTACAATAGGTGTGGTAAACTTTAAGCCGTAAGAAATTACCCAATCACGATTGATTATTCTTCTATAATTCGACTGTGATTGGTCAACTTCTTAAAGCTTAAAGTTTTCTACACCTGTTGTAGATCGGGACTAATGAGTGATGGACTGAAAACGCATACCTGAATATTTATTTGTGAGATGCGAATTTTACATATTCCAAGAAATGAACTTTATTTCGCAGAAGTAGACTTTATGTCCCACAAATGAATTTTCAAGTATTTTTTTTTATTCTGCGTAGCAAGTCTTTCACGCACAAATTTTGCCATAACTGTAAACGCAAGCCGTAAACTTAAAGCTTAAAGCTTACTACACCTATTGTAGATCGGGACTAATGAGTGATGGACTGAAAACGCATACCTGAATATTTATTTGTGAGATGCGAATTTTACATATTCCAAGAAATGAACTTTATTTCGCAGAAGTAGACTTTATGTCCCACAAATGAATTTTCAAGTATTTTTTTTTTGGTCTGCGTAGCAAGTCTTTCGCGCACAAAGACCGTAAGACGTTTTGCCATAACCGTAAACGTAAGCCGTAAACTTAAATTGATGAATTAATCAGCTGAATCATGAATAGTCAAATAATATATATCTGCTTTAAGAACTCGAATACTAGTTTTGATGATATTGCTATTGAATGAAGAAGGCTCATTCCAACTACAACGTTGCTAATGCCGAATTTTATTGATTCAACGGTATTTTTTCCGTATAGAAGAAGATATAACTGATGGTAAATTTAACAGTAAGCAAAAGTAAAGTAATTTTATCTCCACACATAAATAAATAGATGTACTTAAATTTGGCAGCAACTTTACTAGTCGATTTATAAAGTCGATTTTCTAAAAAAATATATCGTGTAAAATGTATTGCGGAAATCTACAATATAAGTACTACAATATAACAATTTGTTAATCAATATAACAAAAAGAAATTTACATTATTGTATGATGTAAATTTAATTATTAATTCAATGCAGTATATTTGTTTCATAAATGATTAATTCAATGCAGCATAAATGTAATTATAATAGTAATATTTTTGCTTCATAAATATAATTAAAAATGATTGTAGAGTTTCCATCATCGATTGTCTCACGCCATGAGAATCGTGAAAGTCTATCTGAGGATTCTCGATAGACTACTTGAAAACCTAATTACTTGACCTGAATCCTAATTACAAGGCCTCTTCTATCTCCTTATGGATAGAACATTTCCAAAGCAATATCCTCATCATTTCTTCAGCTTAAGATTACGTTTGCGGCAATTCGTGTGGCAAAGCCCTTAGCTCTTTGCTCTAAATTGTAACTTAATTTCTGGCAAAAGGCGTTTCCCGTGCTACCAGAAGTCGTAATAATAACGCTTGAAGTTTAGAAATTACGACGTCTAGTAGCACGGAAAATGCCTTCTGCCAGAAATTAAGTTACTGTTTAGAGGTTAGAACAAAAAAGTAAAAAAAAAAGAAAGTTTACTATACACCTACTGCAGATCGAATCTAACTCCTCGTGTCTTGTTTCGGTTCTCGCGGGAAAGCATGGAAAGGATTCTCCGTGGAAGTCCGTCATTTTTCGTTGATCTTGTTCGGGTAATGGCTTTCACGCTTGAATCGATCGAAAGTCGCAAGACGTTCCTTTCACGCGCCTATTATTTTGTCGTAAACCAGCAGCAAACGGGGTGACTAGTTAACGCAATTGTCTTGCTCTTCTATTCGCTTTTATCCCTACTAGAAATTATCTCATGGTTCTGATCAGATTAATCTTAATTAGTTATTTGGTTTGTATAAGGTGATGTTGTGGAGTTCTGATAAGTCATGCAACATTGCGTGGCAGTCAGTACCTCACTAATAAGGATTATTAATAATTAGGATTTTATTACTAATTAGGGAATTCGTTAACGTCACTTTATACAAACTAGATAAACTGGCTGAGATCAGGACTAGGATCAATTTCTAGTTTTATAGTCTAGTCCGTTATAGTTTTATGGTTTTATAGTCTAGTCCGGGATTCTTTTCTTTTATTTCCAAAACTTTTGATAAGAGATATTAAGTTGATCGGAATCGAGGATTACATTCAGTGTTTACTTCGCGAATGAATGAGTGGATTAGGAGGAGTCGACTGTGACGATTATATCTGAAAGTCCTCGTCCCCGATGCAGGTGATGCTGCTCGGAGATAGTGGCGTTGGGAAAACCTGTCTCCTGACACGTTTCCGCGACGGTCGCTTCCTGGCGGGCAACTACATAACGACCGTCGGCATTGACTTCAGGGTGAGAGACGTTATATCACCGTACATGCATCCATCGTACTGTAATCGAACGAAGAGCGTGATATCTCGAAGTAATATAAGATTTCTCCCAAGATTATTTTTCCTGGTTCTTTCAAGTCAGGTGAAAAAAGTAATATGCGTTGCTCACATTGGACGACATTACCATCGCGATTTATGTATTTTTCCGACGTGTAATTACGAAGAATTCAGAAAACCTTTCATATCCTTGCAGAACAAAGTAGTTACCGTCGACGAGACGTGCGTCCATCGTACTGTAATTGAATGAAGAGCATGATATCTCGAAGTAATGTAAGATTTCTCCCAAGATTATTTTTCCTGGTTCTTTCAAGTCAGGTGAAAAAAGTAATATGCGTTGCTCACATTGGACGACATTACCATCGCGATTTATGTATTTTTCCGACGTGTAATTACGAAGAATTCAGAAAACCTTTCATATCCTTGCAGAACAAGGTAGTCACCGTCGACGAAACGCCGATCAAGCTACAGATATGGGACACAGCAGGCCAGGAGAGATTTCGGAGTGTGACGCACGCTTACTACCGAGACGCTCACGGTAAATCCTTTCGCATTATTATTCCCCTTTTTCCTCGTTTGCCCGAGGATCTAGTTTACCCGGAGCCGGATCGCAATCAGAATTAATGCGGATTAAAAGGGACAGAGGCGTTTTAATGCGTATAAATATGTATGCGCAATAAAATTAAATAAATTTATATTAAATAAAGATAATTAAATAAATTATAATAAGTAGTTAAGGATAAATACATTTTTGCATATGAAAATGGGTACGCTTTATCATTCGATGGTTTGCGTATTATGAAATTTTCCACGATTGGTTCAACGATATACAGGATGTTTGACAACTAATGACACACTCAATGAAGAGAGAGAGAAAAAGGGAGAAAGAGAAAGAGGAAGCTCATCAAACTGAAAATGAATTAAAGAAGACTGATGCACGATACATCAATCGTGCGAATACATTTTTCAATTTTCTTTAATTAATAACTGAAAAGTTACACGATCATTTGCAAAATTGCGGAGGAGTTTTTGTTCAGTTTAATACAAGCACACGACGGCAAATGTCATCATCACGGTTCTTCCATCGTATCGCGCATGATTATGCTAATCTTCTTTAATTAGTAACTCAAAATTCCATGTGGTTGTTCGCAAAATATAAGATAAGATTTCTCCCAAGATTTTTCTCCTGGCTCTTTCAAGTCAGGTGAAAAAGATAGTATGCGTTGTTCACATTGGACGACAATACCATCGCGATTTATGTATGTAGAGAAATTTTTTTTTCAGTTTGATGAAGTCTGCCCGCATACAACGAATGTGCTGTTAATTGTGAGACACTCTGTACATGACGAAAATGGCAATAAGAAGCCGCCATACGGTCGCGTGTGATAGAAACGCGTTTAGCCGGTAGCTTTGCTAGGCGGGCGATAAACCTGAGATCATTGGTGTGGATTTTCTGCGTGTCTTATAAGCGGCAGCTCGTAACTATTTGCTCTCTCTCGCGCTATAAACGCCGTCACCACGTTGAAGCCGTGCATAAGAAACGCTTTACTGGTTTTGCGTTTTAACACGCGCGGAAAATGATGAGATATATACCTCGGGGCGAGATACGACGTGCTCTCGAGCGTTTAATGCGCGCTTGATTTAATCGACAGAATTCCCGCCATGGAAATTGCGAGACGCGAACTTTAACATGATTTAGCTCGGTTGTTGCCGACACATTACGACACGGGGCGCCTGAGTATTTCCGCGAACTGATGGATTTTGATTTTACAGTCGATATTCTTTGACAAATTTTTCTTCTTAAAAATTCTTTCTGAAGTAACTCTTATTCAGAGTCAATTTGAAATATCTCGTTAATTAAAATGTTGCTAAGATTCATGTAAAACACGAGAAGGAATAAGATTTTTATCTACTTTCATCTCATACGTCATTCCGCGAAATCTTTTAGATTATTAAATAGCGAGAAGCTTGCCGGGAAGCTCGGGGAGCTGTCGGTGTCCCGGCGCTTTTGTGAAATTTAAATAGCTTTACGTTTCTTTTATAAGTCCCCTGTCCTAGATTGGTTTTAGTACTGGGAACTGGGAATCTGAGGTTTTCTCGTGTACATAAGAAAAAAGTTTCCGAAGCGCGACAGCGAAGTAGGACAGAAATTCCGAAAAATGGAAAGAAATCAATTTTCTAACAATTTTTGGATTTAAATAAATACAAGCCTTAGTGGTATTAATGTTGAACGGACATAATGTAAAATATGTTTCTTCTATGACATATATTAAAGCAGCAAATGCATAAATGCCATCGAATGTCGTGTTCGAATGATATGAATTATACTTTCATCGAGTAAAACAAGCCACGAAATAGACACAAATAATAATCGCTAGTATACAAATAAATTCTATGACTCTTCCTCTTTCTAACAATATATAATAAATTATAAATAAATAATTTTATTATTATGTAACAACGCTGCAAAACCTAGTTCGCTTGTACGAAAATGTCGATGCCCTTTTTCGCCACACATCGATTTTTGAAAATGTAATCGTCGTGACTCGTAAATCGGACTTACTCTATTTTATACTTGATACTTCATACTTTTATATACAGAAGAGATCGCCTGCGTATATTCGCATTTATGATAGCTGCAACAACTTAAACGTTACTATATATCTTATTTCTATACATATTTACCTCGATTTTGTCTCAAATTAAGATTTATTATTTAATTAATGAAACATATGTGTATAAAAACGAAATTTTTATCGATAAATAATATATTTATGAGATGCCTCCTTGATGCGCCACTGGAAATGACCCTTAGCCCTTAGCGCTGAAATTTCTTTAGTAGTACCAAATAGGCTTGTATTTATTTAAATCCAGAAATTGTTGAAAATTTTATTTCTTTCCATTTTTCGGGATTCCTATCCCACTGTGCGTGTCCAAAGAGAGAATCTTAACTACTCACCTAGATTCGATTGTTCATCCTTGAGACGAACCATCCATCTTCGGATTCGGAATGATTAATTTGTAACGCCACTGTTCCGCATCGCTCATCGCACTCGCACTTTACAATGCATGAACCATTTGTAACTTCGGCCCGAACTCCGGCCGCCGCGCTCCCGATTTTGTTGCTCCACCAGTTTTGGCCAGGTGCCAAACCCGATTCGCTTAGACAGACGGAGAAGGAGAAGGAATACGAAGAGGTCGCCTAAGGGAGACTTCATTGTTTGGCGACGGAACCCATCTGTGTGAGCTCTGAAGTTGTTGTGACAATAGCCTCGCACCGCACCAACTTCGGGAGCAATCACTCGAGACGAGTGAAATACCCGACGATAATTAGCCGTGTCATCCATTTCTGGGAGACTAAGTGGCGACTATTCGCGCCGCAATCGAAGTGTTCGGATCGATTCTATGAGCGCGAGGTCTATTGACACGCACGATTGAATATTGAATTCAGTCAATATAGACACTTCATCTCTTAATCATCCCTGGTAGAAATTTAATGCAGTCCTCGAGCAGTTACTGTGAACAGTTGAGTTAACACGTTGACCGCCACGTCACCCATATATGGGTGACAGCACACTGAGAGATGGATTTAGTAAATATTACTAAAATTTGGTTACTATTACTAAATGGTAGACGTAAATATAGCGGGCCAAAGCTATGGCAATACTTATTAATTAGTTTAGTTCTGTAAAATAAATTATTTATTTGACAGAAGTAAAATTTATTTGCTTGCAGAATATATTTGGTAAATAAAACTTATTGAATAGTTGAGCAAAATAAGCGATTTTGTAATAGTTACACAATTTTTGGTAGGTTCAACCAACCATCTGTAATAATAGATATTGAAACGACGTAATAGCTGCAAATGAATGAATTTTTCGTTGTGCTGCAACAAAACATACTTATACTAGTAACAAAATAGAACTCGTACCTACTGAATCTTTTATTACATGGGATATAACAATTTCATAACAATTATCAAATATCTGTTCATAACTGTAATATATTTCATATTAAATATTTAACATTAAGTAACTGTTACTAAATTATTTAATTAATGTTACTGTGAATGCAGTTACGTCATACTCCCGATCTATTAAATATTTGGTAATTATTATAATATTTAGTATTAGATACTAAGGATTCAACGAATTTCTATAACTAAATGCAGTTTGTTATAATTACCAGTCTTTTCTCTCAGTGTAAGGTTGGGTAAGTTACTTTTGGTTTTTAACTGAGTTAAGTTAAAAGTCAGTTCGCTATAAAATAATTGAGTTTATGTTAAAAGTTACTCAAATAAAATACTAACTCAGTTTAAAGTTAATAAAAAGTTACTTGCGGAAAACTTTTAGCTATCTAAAACTATACATGTATAGTTTCGATTTCACTATTTCTATCACTGTTTCTTTTTATTTCATAATTAGTCTTTAAATTTAGCTTAAATTTATGTGAAATAATGAAAGTATATTAAGCAAATTGACCAATCGCAGTTAATTATTTCTCGACTGTAAAGAGAATAGTCGATTGTGATTGGTCAATATCCTTACTGCTTACGTCTTACTGCTTAAGTTTTTCTATATGTCACTAGCTTTATGGCTCGATCTACAATAGGTATCTACAATAGTAAGTTTTAAGCAGTAAGAAATTGACTAATCACATAGACTAATCACATAGTAAGTTTTAAAAAAGTTAAGTTAGAAGTTAAACAGTTAGTAACTTTGAACTCAACTTATCACGACTTATAGAAAAATAATCAATTGTGATTGATCAATTTCTTGGGCTTAAAGTATACTACATCTATTGTAGATTGAGTCTTAAGGCCATTCTACAATTGCGTAAGCGTGGTTGTAAATGGTTGTAGATGATTACGACAACCAATCAAAATAAAGCAATTAGTAAATAAAACACTCTAATTGGTTAATTCTTACGTTCACGACTACGCTTACGCAATTGTAAAATGGCCTTTATGCGTCGTCTACAATGACAGTAGGAGTAGTAGTAAGAAATAAGCAGTAAGCAAATTAAATCCTTGTCCACAACCTTGCTTTAAGACGTAAGAAATTGACTAACTACAGTCGATTATTCTTCTAAAAATCGACCATGGTTGGTCAATTTCTTACGGTTTATGTCTTAAAGCAAAGTTATGGTCAAGGATCGATTCATTTCGTTCTCACGATTTAAGAATAATCGATTGTGATTGGTATATTTGCTTACTACTTATTTCTTACTACTACTCTCTTACTGCTATTGTAAACAACGCACTGTAGTGCTGGAAGCTTCATTCTATCTTTCTTTGGCATGTAATGAACAATAAAGATAGAATGACGCTTATAGTGCTAAGCGTGCTCTAAGCGTGAATCAGATCACAGCCATAGTTAGATCATTTTCAGACGCTTTGTAGCCAATGAAACGATCCATTCAGTATCTAAAAATAAGCTTGAGACGATCATAAATATAAGATTTGGTTATGAATACTGCTCTGATATATCTGTCTGTTAAAGTGGCTGATGATTTTTACGCAATTTTAATATTGATGAAATAAATTAACTGAAAAAAATAAAAGTTACAGTTAATGCATAAAAATTAACTAAGTTTAAGTTAAAAGTTAACTTATTTAAGCTTAACTAAATTGAGTTCAAAGTTATTAACTGTTTAACTTCTAACTTAACTTTTTTAAAAGTTACTACCCAACCCTGAGTGACAGCGATATTTCATATACATACTTAATTTACGCATTCAATGTGTTAAAGTACGTTTAGTAACTGGAAGGTAAAACTACCTATTGAGATCCCAATCGAGATGTAACGATTTTCCTGCAATTACTGCGCACGAAAAATGTGCAAAGTCTGAATCCATTTACTGAACGAAAACAGAACAAAAATTGGACAAAAAACCGACAAAAAATCGACTAATAATCAAGTTTGCATGCTCACAAAACAGGCATGTTTATTCTAGTATTTCATTTTATATGCATGTTTTCTAGTCGAAAAATTTCGACTAATCACAGTAATCTTAGATTTAATCACAGTAATAGCTCAGGAAATCTTTGATACGTAATACGATACATTTTCTTTTATGTTTCTCACCTCTTACATGGCATCTTTCATAATCATCAAATGGCATACATCTTTTTATCCATTCCTAGCTTTAGCTATATTATTTTATCAGAGTTTGAATCTGAATTTTCATTTATATCATTGCCGTCAGAATATTCTGATGTGCTTTGTCTCATAACAATGAAATTCTGTATTATCGACGTATACCTTGTTTGTCTTTTGTTTATTTTTATTTATAATTTTGGTTATCATTTCTATCACAGGTCTTAAATGTCATATCTCCTCCAATTTCCGTTTTTTTTGCTCTACATTTTTCTACATGTTCGCTCATTGTTCACATAATTTTAAGCTCTTTTTTGACAATATCAATAAATATGTTTTCAACTTATTCACAATAGACATTATAATATGCGCATGTTATAAAAGTTAATTAATATTATTGATACTGTCTTTTGGGAAGAGACAATTGACATATTGAAGGATCAGTTATATACTATAAAGTGCTTCAACCATTAAATGAAACCATAAATGAAACTCCAATTCAAATTTTTGTCCAATTCGTAGTACTTTTACAACTAATGAGAATGCATTAATATTAATATACAATAACTGGGCAGACTGCATATATTTCTACCAGAGAAATTACGATATTCACTTTACGCGCCTCGATTATCATTTAGAGCGTCAAAGTTTCATGTCTACGAAAAAATATATTTTAGAGATATGAATAAATCTTGACAAATTATAAGATCAATACTTGAGTAACGTCTCGAAAATAATCTTGAAATGTAAATTTCATGACAATTTTTCGAAAATATTAGCGAGTATGCATAAGGAGAAAATTTACCAAAAGACAATCTCATCGAATATTTGATACTGACATGAAGTCCCAAAAAGGAATCGCGCTTAGAAATGTTAATAGATATTAGACTTTTTTAGAACTTTATACATTCCCCAGTATTTCGGGAGAGATTATATATCGGTACATAATCTCTTCGTGTTGTTTTCGAGGATAATACTGTTTGCAAGGGTCACATTTCCAAGGGATTTTGCAATGTTCCGGGAAAGTTGGATTTCGGGATATTATCCCGGAATCGGATTTCAGGATTATGACTGTTCGGGATATCGTTTCAACTTTCGAATTTCGGCGTTTTATTTCCGGCGTTTTGCATGTCCACCACGTTCTGCAAAAAGCCACCGACTCTGTCGGATGACGCAAAGCCGATTAGGTGGTCGATAAAAAAAAGCTACTTGCGACTGGTTCCAGCGCTTCTGCTGCTGTACGACGTGACGAATAAGGCGAGCTACGACAACATCAGGGCTTGGCTGAGCGAAATCCGGGAACACGCGAACGAGGATGTCGTCATCATGCTGCTGGGTGAGTCGCGCTTATTTATGGTCGCCGTGTCGATACAATAGACCTGCCCACTTGGGGCCCGCGTTCAGCGGCCACTTCGATCCCTGGCAAAGTCAAACGCCGCAAATAAGGGCCGTAATGGTTCAGCGGAGATAAGAGAGCTCGGCGAAAGCTATCTGGATGACCCGGATTTGATTAGATGCGCCTAGATTGTCCCGCGCGATATACATTTCGCTACCCGAGTCCACTTCAAACTAGAAGATCTGATGGCATTCAGAACCAACAGTCAGTCGCGAGAGAGACAATCGGCTTCAGCTGATAACGGTTGCATCCGACGCAATTTGGGAAGCAATTAAGATCGACTCTAACGAGAGCTTGCGCCTGTGATACGAACGCTTTTGACATACAGGGATAATGGGAGGTATTTCCGCGACCTCCTTCTCGTTTCAGCTTTTAATAATCCGGAATCCAATTCCCCGATTCGTACATACGTCCCGTGCGCGGATTATCGGTTTCTGAAAATTGACCTTAATTGCTCGCAAACGAAATCGCATAAGAAGATCGAAAATACTATTGGCGGCAAAGCAAGCTACATATTCCAGTGGGAGGATTTATTTTCGAGTCTTTAAAAAAGAAATGACTAAACCGCAGGTAACAAGTCCGACTGCGGGACGGAGCGCATCGTTAAGAGGGAAGACGGTGAACGATTAGCGAAGGAGTACAAAGTGCCGTTCATGGAAACGTCTGCCAAGACTGGCCTCAATGTCGAGCTGGCGTTCCTCGCCGTTGCACGGTACGATCTGAGAATTCTAATTCTAAAAACGAACAATTTCTTCTTTAAGGAGGTTGGAGCGCTACTCACTAGTTAATCAGTCTTTAATTAATAAAGTTGTCTAAAATGATCAAACAAATTATTTCTCAACAATATTAGCGAGATCAAATTCGTAAATATCTAATCGTTTTTATTTTGGAAATTATCAAATGTTTGGAAAATGACAAAGTAAAAGTAAGACGCTAATTTGATAACAATAGTAAGAAAAGAAATGTACTCGTTATCGCATTTGGTAAATAATCAGTTTCATTTGATTTGGGTTGGAAATGCATAGATTTTATATGTTAAAATAAATAATAAATATAAAAATATATACAGAAATTATATTACGAGAGAGGTTATTTCAGATCTGGCGCTAACTTATATCATTTACGCGATGTTGGTTAGGTTAGGTTCCGTTTAATGCTGCAAATACTCCAAAGCGTCAGATCATAAATTTCATAAATTTACTATTTATCAAACACAAAATTATTTTTTTGTATATTTATTTCATTAAATTAAGATAAATATATATACATAATATTACAAATACAGAAAGCTGTTATTTTTGTCTAATAAATGCTTTATTTATACATCAGTTTATTAATAGAAATATATAAATAATAAAAAAAGATAAATAAATATTTAAATATGTATGTATGTACATATTCATATTTCGAGTATTACTATAAATTATAAACTTTTCACCGCTGAATTTTGAAAACAAATCAGTCAATAATTCTGAAATTTATGTATAATGTCTCAATGTTGAGCTGGCATTAGTCTCTAATGTAGTTTTTCATCGAAATCACATATGTAATTTAGAAAATATTAAAAATAGGAATTAAAAATAGCACGTTAAAGGAAACATGTCAAGTTTAATTGAAAATATCTTAGCTTTCAAATAATCAGGCTCTTTCTAATTGTATAAGCAATTAGATAATATTTCACTATGCATATAAGATGTCCCAGTTCTCGCGACTTTTATTTATTCATAAGTTTTCTGAGTAATTTAAAGTTAATTTTTCGATCGAAACAGTGATGCTTCTCGCAAACTAATCTTCAAACATCTATATAGAGCTGTTTTCCTATAGTAATCTCAAGTGGACACTACTTTAATAGAATTCTACTTTGGATCTTAATTAGAAAGATATGTTATGTTGAAAATTCGTCACGAATAATAACTTCCCTCGACATTTTCGATGAATTGTTTCCAAATTGCTTAGAGAATTTGTCGATATAAATTAAAGTCATGAAAACTGGAACATGCGCTGTGTAGTGCAAGTTTAATTAAATTCTCATAAAACTCGTTTCATGACATTACTATCTTCAGATCTGTAGTGATAGTTGTCATTTGAACCTTGTTATATGAGATATTCAGACCTTTATTTTGAGTTTGATCAAACTTTTTTCAGTTCAATTATGATGTGTGTGGCATTTATATATGTAATCGCGCGATACAACTGAAAACTTTTCATTTAACTTTGAATTGAAGTTTTTACCTCAAGAGACGATCCATACAGCAGTATGATGTCTTAAGGATATCTCTCTAAAAGACGTCTTAAAATTTTTCAGACGTCTTTATGACGTTTTTAAGCCCTTGTCCACAACCTTGCTTTAAGACATAAGTCGTAAGAAATTGATCAACCATGGTTGATTTTTAGAAGAATAATCGACTGTAGTTGATCAATTTCTTAAGGCTTACGTCTTAAAGCAAGGTTGTGGACAAGGATCAAGATGTCTTATGTGCTGATTTAAAACGTCTTAAAAACATTATTTTAAGACATTTTTAAGACGTTATCTTAATCTCATAATCGGTAATGTAAACAGTCATACATAAACTTGAAAATATTATTCAATAGGCGTCATAAAGAGGTCTGAAATAAGATCTCTTTAAGACGTCTTTAAGACGAAATTTTTTTTTGAAATATCTTAAAGATATCTTTTTTTCAAATGTCTTTAAGACGTCTTTTGATAACTTAAAGAAATAAGATTAAAAAAAATGTCTTTTGGGTAACATCTTAAAGACATTTGAAATAAGGCGTCTTTAAGATATGCGTGGTGAGGTCTGAAAAATTTTAAGACCTCTTTTAGAGAGATGTCCTTAAGACATCATTGTGTGGATCGTCTCTTGATGTAGAGACTTCAATTCAGAGTTAAGTGAACATTTTTCAGCATAAAAATAATGCCTTAAAGACGTCTTATTTAAGTTTTTTAGATATGCGTGTTATGTGGGAAGTTTTTCCAAATAATATAATGATTAATGCGAGCCTAAGGATTACGGTTGTATGTAAACGTTATCGTACTTTGGAGGAAAATAGAAATTAGACACGATTAGCGCGAAATCGGCGAACCGATGGAGATTGGTCTGCTTTCAGGGAGCTGAAGGCCAGAAAAAGCGACAACCCCGACGAGACGAAATTCAACGTTCAAGACTACGTGCGTCAGCAGTCGCAGCGAAGCTCCTGCTTCAATTCCAGCTGCCTGACAACCTGAACAGCTTTTTCTCACGGTCTCGAGTCCGGGGAAACGCGAGCGTTCAGGAGTACGTCCGCGTGGGAGACACGGCGCGGGAATTTTTCGTCAAACGAGCCAAGCGAGACTCGTTTCGATTTCCGCGCGAGATCGTCAGTGTTATACACGTGCAACATTCACACACACGGCGCGACCACGGTATAAATTTTGTACACGACTCATGGTAACTCTTCAGGTACAAGTTGCAACTTATGCTCAAGATCGATTTCATATACTCGGCTCGGTGAATCGGAATCAGACGGCGTAGCTAGCTCGAAGCGTCGATATCCTTCAGCGAAACGTCACCGCGAACATTGCTAAGCGATGTCGAGACCGGGGAACGCGGAAACGAGTCGACGGTTCTTGAGGTCGGAGAGCTGAATTCGTAGCGCGCGCGCGCGCGCGCGGAGAGTTGTCGTTAAACGTAAAAGAAAATAATAATAATAACAAAGACGTGTCAATGGTTATTCGCACACACGTGCTGTATATTAATGTGAATAGTTCCAGAGGAATAATAATAGAATCTCAGGATACCCCTGTAGGTGAGCCTCTAGCTCGACGGCTCTAATTTTAATGGCGTGCACACACGCGACGCCATGATGTCGGCGTGTCGCGTGCAGCGCGCACACACACGCATACCAATTCGCGCAGCGCGACACGCGATCAAACAGTCGTAACTCGAGTGTAACTTACAACACGCTGCTTTGCCGTACTTCGTAATCGTCTGTTACGTTGCGCCCCGCGTGTTTAGCCGCTATGTTTGCGTAAAGGAGCGTAATCTTCGATTTGCATACAATGCGCTCGTTATACGAGCTATAGCGCGCGGTGGTCGCACCTCGCCTCGGTGTCTGTGAGCGCTCGGGAACGAATGAAATGTCAACTCGCAACTCGCCCGATGTGTGTATGTCTTATGTAAGGTAAATGTTCCAATAATTGAACCCTGGTCCAATGGTTGGAACATTAGAAACACATTTGTGTTTAATATTTCTAAGAAAGTGTTGGAAATTTTGTTGAAAGATACTTTTTTATGCCAATTTGTGATATCGATTATTTATTACTAAGTCTATATTCTTCAGTAATTAGGACATAATTTATTTTTCAGTTCAATTACCGATGCAACTGGTATTATCTATTTTATTTGATATACGATAATAATTTATCTAATATATCTAATAATTTGTCTAATATATTTCATTAAAATTATTATTGATATTTATTAAATATTTTATTTTCCTATTGTTTCTCGATCTCGCTGATAAACCAAAGTTTTATATAAATATTAATTAATTAAAAAATTTAATTTATTTAAATTCTTATTAAAATTTATTTATTTAAATTCTTATTAAAGTTTTCTTTGTTAATTAATGAAATTAAAGTTTTTAACTTTACTAATTATTTGTTAATAAAAATATAAAACTGCTTTCTTATTAGTTTACTTATTGAGACATTTACCTTATTATGTAGTCGCGATATAGCGCTCGAAAGAGGGAGAAACCACATCTCTGTCTCTGTTTCTCTTCTAGAAGAGTCCAGAAACGACTCGTAGCTGCCATCTAGCGGATCCACGCGCGGAAGTGAGCGGTTCACGATGCTTCTCTCTCTCTTTCTTTCGTAGCAGCATGTATATGTGAAGTTTTCAGATCTGTTTTTTTAACTAAACTATCTGAACTGATGCAATAAATTAGAGTGAGACAAATATATTTTGTTTCACTCTAACTTATTGCATCAGTTCAGGTAGTTCAGCTAAAAAAAAAACAGACCTTTCATGATCGTTAGCTAAGCGTACGCGCGCGTTTTGTACGCGATTATTGAGATATCTATCGGAGTATCCCGATGCCGATTGGTCGAAAGGAGTGTGGGAAGAAAGGAGGAAATAGTTATATGTGTGATTCAAGGATTTCAGAATTTTATCGATTGTTATCGAGTCAGAGTTCTAAGTGAAGTTGAGAACCGCCATGTCGGGAAGAGTCAATAAAGCTCGCACTGTTTAATGAAGCTCCAGCCACGTCACCGATTGCATAATCGCGCTTCGGATTTTTCTAAAACCTTCATTTCGCGGGGAATCAACGGGGAGTCGTCGGCGACTCGTCCACTTCACGATGGACGGAAATCCGAAGGGATGGTTTTAGGCAGGACGAAGATATATATCGTATGTGTTACATCCTGGTATATATGATATGCAATCTATCTTTTACCTGCAGTGTACAAATGACAAATATAATTTCGTGTATTAAACGTGTATATCAGAAGACGTATATGAAATAAAAATCGACCAACTGTATTGAACGAGAGAGGAGGATTCTTTCTGTTTACCTTTTCCCCAGTAATTTCCGTCTCGATCCCATGACTCTCCCCGCGCCTCGAGTTTTTCAGTATAAATGTGAGTAGAAATAAAACCGTCAGTTTAGTTTTTCCTTTTGTTACGCGGAATGTTTCATATTTTAGAGTCGAAAAATACAACGGGATTTTCTCATTCGTTGGAGAAATTCTAGGAAACGAGGAAAATTGCGTAAAAATACACAGGTAATAATATAAAATTCTCTATTTCCATAAGATCAACATGATTCTCGATAATGTGGTAATCAATCGATTATGAGAAATGAAATATGTTAAAAGTTTATATTCGTTCCGTACAGTCCTGAGCAGCGCAAAACATTGGGTCAATGTTTTTATGAATTTATAACAGCAATTGGCATTTTTGCCAACTAATAAGTGCTGCTCGAGATTTCATTTCCATGTCTCGACGTGGTCAGGATTTCAGGAAAGTCGATCGTCAGTTTTCTCGAGGTTCGATCCGTCGCAAATTTTTAATTTTTAATTTTTAGATTTAAAGAGATCTCGGATTTAAAGAGGATGTATAAGGCTCAGTGTCATATTTTTTCAGTGGTGCATCACGGAAGCCATTCACAAATTTATTATTTATTAAACAAAATTTCGTTTTTATATATTTATTTCATTATCTAAGTAATAAATGTTAATTTGAGATAAAAGTGAGATGTATGTGTAATTATAAATATGAAAAATATCATTTTCTTAATTTTTCTTATTAATGCTTCGTTTATGCATCTGTTGATCTAGTATAAATATACAGATAATATAGAAGCAGATATATAAGTATTTAAATATGTATATATATGTATCCTAAGTATTGCTGTAAATTATGAACTTTACAGCGCAGTATTTTCCAAACAAAACGATCAATAACTTCAAAATTTGTGTGCAATGTCGATATATTAGACTTTAATTTCATAGCAGTTTTTCATTAAAACTATATAATATTTCAATTTGTATGTAGTGCAAGTTTCAATGAATTTACTTTATTTTGCAACTTTTTTAAGACTTTTGAATACTCGCCGCGGTAATTTTGATTTATAATGCGGTAATCTTGATTTAGAAGTAAGAAAGTAAACACGATAAAATTTCTGTAAAAACGCAGAAATAAAAAGATGTATCCACAAAACGACACTTGCAATCGATTGAGTAGATTTCTAAAATAGCCCCAACACTTTCTTTTTGTTTTAAACAATCAATAATCATAAAATTAACATGACAAAATCATGAAGAAGGGTAAGTTAAAAAGGAAGGTTACATTGTCAGTTAATTTTACGATTGTGTTATTTTACATAGATATATTTTTTTATTTCTACGTATTTTTCGCAAGAATTTTATGTTTTCTCGCTTTTAATGTCATCGATCGAGAATACTGCGGCGAGAAAACGCTTCTAAAGTAAGTGTTCTATTAATTAAATATAGTAATTATAACATATCATTTTTCAGTTCAATTACTAACACAATTGACATTATTTAATATTTGTGAAAATTATAATTAATACTTATTAATTTATTATTTTTCGATCATTGACAAACCAAAGTTGTATATAAACGTTGCTTTTGTTAGTGATATCATATTAATTATTTATAAATAAAAATGTATATAAAACTGATTGTGTTTTTTTGTTAGTACAGTCATTTATCTTACAATACCGTTGCGAATCTTCGGAAAAACGCGCTTGTTCTCGCATTAGTTACGTTCAGCAAGGAAAGCTGCTTTTCATTGTGTAAAATTCGTGAATCTGATTGGTATATGCTCTTAGATACAGCCTAGGTCAAGAGCCCAATCAGATTCTTGAATTTTACAAAACACAGTTGCAGTAGCTGACAGTAGCCACTCACACCTCGATCAGTCCGTTGCGTTTCCAAAGCCATTTTCCGAAGACCCCGTCTCAGCGCACGATCGTAGCGCATCCTGCCGAATCATCGGGACCATTGTTGAAGAGGCCGCTCACGCCATCTTGACACGATACCACCAAATGTGAAACTAGTTCCCTCAGTGCTCGACGTCCGATGGCCACAAACAAAACGCTGCGTCCCTAACCTGATCACGGAAGAACGCGGCGTCGGCGGATTTAGCTTCGTCTAGGAGGTGTTTTGTGCCGAATAGCGTCTCAGAAAGCGCCGGTTCACGATGGACGAGGACGTGGTGGAGATCGGGAACGTGGAGAACGTCTGCAGGTTGTGCCTGTCCACGGACGAGCCGAAGTCTTCGGTGTTCATAACGGACGAGCAGGAGGACCCCGCTGCGTCGTTGGCCATCAAGATCCGATCCTGCCTATCAATCGAGGTTGGTGCACGGACTCGTCCCTTCATCTTGTGCGAGCCAAAGGGACTCACAGTTTTAAGAATCGGCCCTATTACGGCTGTGCGTGATGTACTTAGCTCGAGCGCGTCGTCAACGAGCGTCGAGGTTATGTTCGCGCTGAGAGGCGATACTAAGATCTTGGCGAAGCGCGGTTGAGTCGTTTTGTTATTAAAAAATGAAAAAATAAAAAAAACATTTCTCTTATTATCTGTGATTTTATTTGTGATTTTTTTTTCTCTTCAGTTTTTCGCTGATGTATACTTGTGCGATGATGATTACACGTGTGCCGATTAGAAGTATAGTACAGCTAAGGAAGCAAACTGTCTTTTATGTTTTGTACGGTTATATGGTTGATATGAAAGAAATTTATAAAAAAGAATTTCTAAAGACTGGAAGATGTGAAGTGTATAAGAAGAGATCTTGACAATTTGCAGTTTGAGGCATTTATATGTACTGCATATTCCCTTGAAATTTGGAAATTTATATTGGTATACTTGATTTTTCAGATTTTGACTACTGATAAGTTGTCCACATTGATCTGCACAAATTGCGTGCAAAATGTTAATCAATGGCATACCTACAAGGAATCCTGTCTACGTTCACAGGATAAACTACAGGAGTGGCTGACAAGTCAACAACAATCGAAACCAACGGTTAGTACATATGATAGTAGAAAATTAAAAATTGCTCTAAATTATCTGTGTTATTCATGTCTCTGATTGTAACGGTGTCTGAAAAACCATTTGCAGGTTATAACAATTAAGGATGAACCAGTGGACTTAGATTACGAAGACAATATAGAGATTATCTCAGAGTGCACCAACAACCAGGAGTTATCGGTAAGTATAGTTCTCTCACATATGAAAGATGATGAAGCTCCTGATGAAGGTGATGTAAAAAGATCTCTAGATAAACATATTGCATACTTGCAGAGTCTATCAGTTGATACAGTGGAGGGCAGCGAGACTAACAATGAGCAAGTAGAAGAAGTGTCAGAAGACATTGTTAACAATGACGAAAGTGATAAGACTAACGCGGATAAACAGATAGAATCAGAAACAATTCCATCTGTAGCAGAGAAAGAGGTTGATCAAGATGAGAGTCAAGTGGTGAAGGACCAACAAAATCCTCCACTTTCGCGTGTCATTAAAAGTGAACCGCGGGATGATTACGATACCGATTGTACTGTAGAATTAGACGATAACGTAGACGATAACGAGTTGTTGTTGAATCCCATGGCGCTCGGCACAAAGGAAGACGTGGTTATGGAAGCCGATTCCACCCAAAAGTTCAACAATACAGCTAGTGGCGCGACACAAAAGAAAAAGCTACGACGCGGCCCTCACACTCATTTCAGAGGCACGCGCGCTTTCAAGCAGAAGTGTGTATACTGTCAAATATTTTTGCATTCCAAACATTCATACATGAAGCACATGAAGCGATTTCACAGTAATAAAAACAACAGCGCCGAGAACTCGGAGTCTCAGAATGACGAGGAGGAGATGGTGGAGGATCTAGAGGACGAGCTGATCAGTATGGAGAAGGACTCGCCGTTGACGCAAGTTCAACAGGACATTATCAGCCAACTGAAGACGTTCTCTTGTTACTCGTGCCAACAAAGCTTCAACGATCGACGCAGCACGCTTTTTCATATCCGTCAACACCTGCCGGATTTACGACCGTACACGTGTATCGCTTGTCTGACTGAGTTCTCTGATCGGTCGATGTACCAGTCGCATTGCGGCGCATCCTTTGAATGCGCCATGAAGATCGCATTGGTTGTGCCGAAGCAGGGTAATGAACGGTACTTCACGTGCAACATGTGCTTGCGCTCTATGCGAGGTAGGAAAGAGCTGCTCAGCCATTTGTCCAAGCATTCCGATAAGCAGTACGAGGAGATGATGTCGCCGGCCCGACCGCCGCCCAAACTGAAGCCGATGGCACCGTTACCATCGCCGAAGAACGACGACGCCAACAAACCACCGCCGCAGAAAAACCTGAACGGACCATATAAGGACGGCGATCCCGCGCACAATCACACGTGCGATCTGTGCGGCATGATATACCGATACCGGCCCAACATGATCAAGCACAAGCAGCTCTGTATACGGCTGCAGCCGGAGGTGAGGACATCGTACAAGTGTGCGCACTGTTCCATGACGTTCCTTGTGTTCAAGAAGTTCCACACTCACGTCACGATCGGCCACAAGAAGAAGGACTTCACCTGCGCCGTGTGTAACTCCCGATTTAGGTCGCCGAGTGATTATCTCACCCACCACGAACAGCATCGCGCGTCGCACGGCAGTCGGCCGGTGCAGCAAAACAGCGGCAAGACTTCGCAGAATGCTCAGTTGCCGTTGAAAGAACGCAACGCCCACGGAGCGGACGCTAAGACTAAGGCCAGCGATGAGAAGTATACTTGCTCTCTTTGCAACTTGGGTTTCTCGACGCGGACCGAGCTGACGGAACACCGGCATCTACATCTCAAGGTGAAGATATACTCGTGCGCCATTTGTCGTAGTATGTTCAGCAGCGCTGGCGCCTTGGAGATCCATATGAAGGACCACGGTATAGAAGATCCGAACGAGCAGAACGCAAACATCTCCTGCGTGGAATACGGCAGTTTGGACGAGGACGTGAGGATCGATAATGACTCGATAAACGCTAGCGCTGTCTCGGATCCCGGCACACAGCGCTACGAGTGTAATCAGTGTGGCAAGGTGCTGTCCAATTACGCCAATCTCAGACGGCACGCCACGATCGCGCACCGGAACACCAAGCATTACCAATGCACCGAGTGCTCGGAAACGTTCACTCGTAAGGAAGTATACGAGCAGCACATGCAGCACGAGCACAAGACCTCCAAGACCATGTTTCATTGTCCTCAGTGTCCCAAGAGCTTTGTCTTCCAGACGAATTTCAGTTATCACTTTAGAACCGCGCATCTCGAGAAGTCGCAGGACGGTTACGCGTGCGACATTTGCGGCAAGGTCTTCGTCGAGGAGGCTTCCTTAAAGATACACAAGGGCTGGCACAATCGCGCCAATTCTCGCCTCAGCACTCGATTCATTCTGGCGAATCAAAAGAACCCCAACGACTTGCAGAAGGATACAAGCGTCACTGAGACGAACTCACCGGAACGCCCAGCAAGAGCTCGAAAGTCCTTCCCCAACCCTTCGTCGCATTCGTCGTCGAAGTCGCAAGGTAACTTGCAGTGCCAAGTGTGCAACGACAAATTCAATGACGTGACCGAGTTGAGGACACATCTGTGGGATATACATTGCGCTAAAAACAAACCAGAGAAGAGTATATCCAACGATGAGCTTCAATGCGAGCTGTGCACGAATGTCTTCCCCGACAAAACAATCCTGGCCGCTCACATGAAGTGGCACAAGGCCAATCCCATTCTCAGCGACGTACACAAAACCTATACTTGTGACGTGTGCAACAAATCCTACAGTTCGAAGAAGGTCCTGTGGAAGCACAAGAGACTTCACAAGGCCACTTTTGTGACTTCCATGAAGTTCCAATCGTTGGCCAAGAAGCCGGCGAGTCAGTTCCTGTGCACAATTTGTCGAAAGGTCTTTTCAAGCGGTCAGTCTCTACAGCGACACAGACTCAACTTCCACAGCGACCTACAGAATCAGCATCAACGTACGCAGCAGCTGAACAACAGCAACCGGAGATTATCGCTCGAGGAGGAACCGAAGTTGAAGCGTATGAAAATGGAAATAGACGACAACCCGCCCAAGTTACCGCCTTTCGCCATGGATTTCGCTGGCGAGAGGAAGAAGTCGGTCATGTGCCACGTGTGCAAGAAAATGTTCGCCAACATGAGCGTGTTGTACAAGCACAAGCAGGCCGTGCATAAACCGCAAACGGGGAAGGATGGCTTGCCCGAGTGCAGGCCGGTGTCGACGCAGGACGGCAAGTTCTCATGCAACGTCTGCTCTAAGGAGTTCCCTGGCCTGTCGAATCTGCGACAGCATTTCACGATCAAGCACAAGAAGGGCTACGACCAGCAGTACCAGTGCAACGTGTCTAGCTGCGACCTGGTGTTCCCCACGTCCGATTCGCTGAAGGACCATGAGCAGACGCACACCAACATGATGTTTAGCTGCAGACTGTGCGATCGTTATCTCTTCAACAAAGAGTACATGATGGATCACATTATCAATGTGCACAACACTGCATACCAGGCCGACAGCAAGACGTTTCACCGGGAGATCGATCTCAATACCTACGTGGTGAAGGGCGCAACCGGGGCTACGTGTCCGCGATGCAACGTCAAATATCCCAACAACCGGGCCCTGAAGATACATTACGTGAAGGTCCACGAGAATACCGAGTAAAATCTCCACTGAGGTCACGACTGGTGCCGCGTCGTGTAGGATTATTGGGTTGCCAGGTGGGCAGAAAAGGTTTTACTGAATTTTCACTTGCAAAATAACACAGTGGATCGTTCCAATGCGATATGTTCCTGAAACGGATTTACGTGTTTCTCCACGCGACGAATCGGCAATTCTCTTCTCGGGTTGAGCATCCTGCTTTCGAGAGCGGAGAACATTCGATGGGAGGTTCGTGTCTTGTCATAAATTTGCCAAGATTGTCCCATTAATGCGCGAGCCAAGACATCATAATGGGTCGCGATCAGCGTTAAGCTATCATATTTTCGATATTTAAGTCACCGACGAAAGAGAATGTGAAAAGAGAGAAAGAGGTAAAGAATAAAAATAAGAATGAGGACATGAGACGAGATTGTATGTGTTACGTTAAGTTGTAGTCGCAGAATTTTCGTGTAGCATGCACAGATGTGCGTTTCCGTAGACAACGGTTCATCGTAAACGATTTGTTACCTGTTTGATACGGCGACTGTAATAGCGACCAATGACACTTGTAAATATCGAGGCGATAGCGAGCTATGTGCGATGACTTTATGACGCGCGGTCTTTCAGTGCAGTTATTGCGATAAGTCGATCGGCCAGATTTTATTTTCTAGGTTACGTGAAATCGTTTAGTTGCGCGTTGTCAGTTTCACATCATGTACGGTCTAAGTGTCTCGCGAAAAACTGCGAGAGACAAGTTTACATTTTAGAATGCATCTTTAATCGCGTCGCCACGGTGTTTTACTTGTTTTCATATCGTTCCCCATGTGCAACCTGGTCGTAGCGATAACGATAACGATAAATGACCGCGTTCGAGAGAGGCATCGTGTATGATAGCTGCTTAGCGAGTTTACTTTACCTAAACACATATTAGATACATTAGGTATTATAACTATTATTATACATGATATTGCAAAAATAAATCTCGTAACTTGCTTACATAACAGTATTTATTAAGTTTTTCCTTGATACATCGGTGTTTCAGTTTCGCCTAACTTTGACAGCAGATTTATACGCTGTGTGTTTTTTCATTTGTTCCTCCCTTCTATACATATATACATACATCTCTCTCTTTCTCTTTAACCGATTTATTAATAATGTATTATGCTAGTTTTATTATTAAGTGCGTTTATAACGCGCAAATTGTAGTGCTTTATGTAGCAATAAAGTAAAAGTAAGGTAAAGAAGAAACCAATAAATATTGATCCTCGTTGTAACGAAGGCTCACCTAAACGCGGTCGCCACAGAGCCACGAGCAAAATTTTAATCGTATCATGTTACTGGTATTTGTGAGATATGCAAACATATTTTATTCTGGAAAAAATGTGGAACAATTTAAACTTTTTGAAAATAATTAATGATTTCTATTACAATAATAAAAAAAAGTTTTAAGCAGGCAATATACAGGGTAGTTTGCATAACTTTTCCAAGTTTGATATCTCTGAAATTAAAAAAGATATGAAAACGTGTTTTGAACAAAAGTTGTAGAATATCGAGGGGAGACACACAATAACAATAATATTTGACCTTAGAATAATTTTGAAAAACCCTGTCAACTTTAATTTTTTTTCATGGAATTGTATGGTTTTTTCGACATAAATCTATCTTTGATCGTACAAAAATACCGAAAATAAAATAAAATAAAATACCGTACATAAAATAATCGAAAAGTGAATATTTTCGGAGATATTTTGTATTTTATCCTGTATTCTACATTTTATCCTTTTCATAATACATTTTATCACTTTTCATAATACAAAATATAAAATCTCATAAACTATTCATTTTTCGATCACCATATCTTAATATTTTTGTACATGGAATGACAAGAGAAATCGATCAGTTATACTAATTTTTACACACTGGTGCATTAACAAATCTATAAAATACACAGAATTTTATTTAAAATTTTCGTATATTTTTTGTTAAAACAATCGATTCATGCCGAGAAAAATCCATGATTCCATTAAAAAAATTAAAATTTACTTTGACAGAGCTTTTCAGTTATTCTAAGGCCAAATAAATATTATTATTTTTTACCCCTTCGATATCCTACAACTTTTGTTAGAAACACTTTCTCATGTCTTTCTTAATTTCTGAGATATCGAGTTATTGAGAATTATATGGATCACCCTATATATGTACAGGATACAAAAAATGTGCAGGAACCTCTGAATATCTCGAAAACAATACATTTCAGAAAAAAAGTTTCAAATAAAAGTTATTTGGTAGTAAAAAATGTAATTAATGATTATAATAGTTTGACTTTGGATGACATCGTCATCCAAAATAAATTAAATCAACATATAAATCTTAAACAGGAATCCATATTTTTATTGTATATTCTTGTACAGGATGTCGAGGCGTTTACAAGATGGTATAAATAAAAACCCTTTTTCAAGAATTCTCTGAGTTATAAGCAATTTTACTTATGCCGCGCCAGCATTAATATTAATGCGCACAAAAATATGCATATGTATCGATAACATTAACAACCGCGCTAATGTGTCTCTGATTTTATAATTAAAACGATGTAAATTTCCATCATACAACATGTATTACATGAAACTATTGCATAAACTTATTAGTTTACATAATAATGCAAATTTATATCATTTTAATGATAAAATCAGAGACAAGTTATTAGTATACATCGACACATGTGTGTATCTTCGTGCGCACTAACGTTCGGCGACTTCAATTATAACTCAGGGATTTCTTGACTAAAAAAAAATTTATACTATTTCGGAAACGTCTCAATATCAAGTACAATAATATGTAATAAAAAATGTGGACTTAAGACTTGTACGTTGATTTTTATGTCCTTTACCAACATGACCCAGAATCAAACTGAAATTACCGTTAAATACATTTTTTAAGACGAAAAAACTTTTATTTAAAACATTTTTGTGTAAAATATGATGTTTTCAAGATATTCAAGGATTTCGGTGCATTTTTTGCACTCTGTATATATACGTGTATATGTATATATGTCAGAAAATTTCATGTATATATGAACATTCTGAAAATTCCATATGTACATGGAATCCTTAAATTTGCAAGGAATAAATATTATACTATATGTTACATTATTATAACTATATGTTACATTATTTCAGTGAAAATCGATGGCATGATATACCATCTACAATCAAAACTTATATCGTCTGTATCACTCAAAATGATTATTTTTACTTGTGTATACTTATCTCTTTAAGCATATATACGTAAATATAATTAGAATATAAAATATATGGATTGAAGATAAAAATAAACGTTTGCCCATGTATAACATCCGTCAACTTGGACACTAATCATGCTCTCCTCATTTTCTGAAAATAGAAAAGGAAATTATGTGGTCACGTTAATAATCTAATATTATTTCCATTGCATAACAAACACTGTTATTGTACTTTGTCATATGCGAATGATCTAATAAAAGCTATAATGCATTGTTATATATTTTTAAATGATAAGCCGTTTGTTTTTCTACCAATCCTCTCGCGAACAAAAGAAAGAAAGAAAGATACAGGATTCCTGGATTGAAATGATTGTCTTACATCAACCCTATAAAGTTACGCAGAACTTATAGAATTATTGGGGAATCTCGAGTAGAAATGTAACAAGTCAACCTGAATCAAAAGTTAGTAGCTAGCTAGTACGAGCTAGATTAAATTTTCTAATCCGTTACATTATTCGTTGCTGGTTGATTATTCAGTGAAATACAGAATTGAATCTGTGTCTAACCTTTGACTAACCATTACATATCAAATATAATAGTGTAAATAGTACTGTCTATTCTAAAATACAGGGTGGGGTAGAATCCGTTTGAGGATGCAAACGCTTTGAGGCGCATAAAGAAAGATTGTAATTGATCTATACGGCACTTTGAAGCGTTTGCAACGTCAAATGGATGCCTATAATCTAGCTAGTATATCATTATTTTATAGAATAGTCCTGCTGGTTTCTCGCCGCGAAATTCTCGACTGATGATGTTAGAGGCGAGAAAATATATGATAAAAATTCTTACAAAATACGTTGACATAAAAAAAGATATAGAAGAAAAGATCTCAATATGCCATGTTCCAAATGCGAGCTATTAATATTTTGGCTTTGTACGGTGCTACATTCTACTAAGAAGCATTTTTGAGTCATTTTTTCCAAGACGTAGTATGTGACGAAGCTTAATTGTATAGTTGTTTTCGAGCCGGTTTAGAAGTTTTCTCACACCTGAAAAGTTGCGTAGGTAGGTATATTTCATGTATTACTTAAAAAAAAAAAATATATATATATATATCACACATATACATATCAACACATTAGTACATATCGTTGATGTAATTGTTTATGAGCTATAAACATTATAAGAATGGATGTATTAAAGGGCATAATTGGTTTAATTAAAAATACGTTATGTTTGTTAATATAATTAATAAATTGTTAATATCATCCATGATATAATGTTGCGAATATGGGCTATTATAAATAATCCTAATATGGACTAATAAGTGATAGTGGCAGTAATCTAGACTTGCCAGTCGGAAAGAGAAAATTTAAAAATATAACGCAAGTTGTCTCTGCTTTGTGATAAAAAATTCTCTGCTTACAAAGGAAAGTTGTGGATACAATGTTTAATGTGCTCTTTGTGAGCATACAATCGATTATGCAGAGAGAATAATTATGCGACATAAGATGACATTAAGAGACATAAGGTGGCAAGATAATTATGTATGCGAATTTTGTTGATAAATATTGTGAGAAAGAAAATGAAGAAATGTGTTTCTTTATTTTAAATCCTATATTATTTCGACATTTTTTTTACAAAGATAGAGAGAGAGAGAGAGAGAAAAGTGCATATTTGTATCATATTTCATATTCTGAAAAGCATCAGAATAAAATGAAAAGTATATCGGAAAGTACTCATTTTATTTTAGGATTTTTATATGCAGAATAATCAGAAAAATTGATTCTTTGTCTTAGAAACATCACTTACACATATAATTCAACTAAGAAAATTTAAGATAACTTTTTGAAATCTTCTACATATGTTCAATAATCAAAGAATGATTGTCAAAAGAATCTATCTCGAGTTCTCATTGATGTCATATTTTCCTTTGCAGCAAGCTCGAACTCCAACATTAGATCTCAAAGACAGAAAGAATGCGAATTCCAACATTAGATCTCAAAGACAGAAAGAATGCGAACAAAATTCTTTAACCCTACTTGGGGCTAATATCCCAAGTCCCGAATTTATATTCTATATGTAATGTGACGATCGCGAAAGCCTGCACGTTCTTCAAAACTTATTGTCGTCTCTCTTCGTTATACCTAAATTGAACAAGAAATTATTCATTAAGAAATAATATATAACAATCTTAACAATCCTATACATAACATACAGATTCTATATATTTATATATATATATATTTTTTTTTAGCTATATATTTTTGATACCAATAGGCTGCAAATCTCATACATAGGGTTAGGTAGTAATTAGTTAAAAAGTTAAAAGTTAAGTTAAAAAGTCAAAAAGTTAAATAACTTTAACTTAACTTAATTACACTACTTAGTTTTACACTCTCTACTTTTAACTTAATTTAGTTACATTATATCGGTAACTATTAACTTTTAATTCAATTATCTTGAAGTTAACCATGCCATAAAGGTGTCGCGAGACGTCGAAAGACTGTTCAGTGCAGGAGAGCTCATTTTCGACAATCTTCGAGGAAAAATGTCCGATGAAAATTTTGAAAAAACTTTATTACTTAAATTTAATAAGTATTTGTAAATAAAACATGTTTCCAAATAAGGTGTATATTTGTTTTTTCCGTTATTTGTAAAACTGAAACCCTGAAGTCATGAAATGAAACAAATTTAACTTTTAACTTTTTAATTACTTTTTTTTATTATCTTTTAATTCAATTATGGGTTTTATTATGGGTTAACTTTATTTTAACTAAGTTAAATTTTCAAAGCCATTAACTTTAACTTAACTTAGTTAAAAAAAAAGTTAACTTACTCAACCCTGCTCATACAGAATTTGTTTTATCTGACGATATCAAGCTGCCGCCAGAAATTTGACAGAGCTTGCTGCCAGTAGATTGACGGCAGACATTAAATAGACACTGTAGCAATCTGACGGCAGATTGACGGTAGAAACCGAGCAGACCCTGTTGCGCACAATATGGTAGCAGAATGTGTTCGAAACAGGATAATTCTTCAATATGGACAAGATATGAACAGTTCTAATAATGAAAATATGATAACAAATCTGCAGTAAATATGTTGCAAATAATAGCATAATTACTTGCAGTTCATATATTGTAATTGCAGTTCATATATTGTAATTGTACATTTGCAATCATGCTTTTACTAGCAAAACCTGTTCCTACACTGAGAGAAAAGACTGGTAACTATAACAAACTGCATTTAGTTACAGAAATTCGTTGGATCCTTAGTAACTCATACTAAATATGATAATTGCCAAATATTTAATAGATTGGGAGTATGACGTAATTGCATTCACAGTAACATCAATTAAATAATTTAGTAATAGTTATTTAATGTTAAATATTTAATATGAAATATATTACAGTTATGAACAGATATTTGATAATTGTTATGAAATTGTTATATCCCATGTAATAAAAAATTCAGTAGGTACGAGTTCTATTTTGTTACCAGTATAAGTATGTTTTGTTGCAGCACAACGAAACATTCATTCATTTGCAGCTATTACATCGTTTCAATATCTATTATTACAGATGGTTGGTTGAACCTACCAAAAATTTTGTAACTATTACAAAATCGCTTATTTTGCTCAACTATTCAATAAGTTTTATTTACGAAATATATTCTGGAATTAAATAAATTTTACTTCTGTCAAATAAATAATTTATTTTACAGAACAAGATTAATTAATAAGTATTGCCATAGTTTTGGCCCGCTATATTTACGTCTACCATTTATTAATAGTAACCAAATTTTGATAATATTTACTAAATTCTTCTCTCAGTGTATCTTGTTCACATATTGAGAAACCACTTTGCTCTGTGTACGCTCCAATTTATTGTTCAACTTGCTGCTTTGCAGGACGGTTTGTACGAAATTTATCTTTTGAAAATTACTCAAAAACAAATTTTTTTATTAGTTTTATTGGTTATTTTCAAAAGTACGTCAAGAGAAAAGTGTAATTAAAAGTGAAAAATTATTCTATAAACTAGTATATCTGTATGAAAGTTAGATCCTTTTTTTGTTCGTCAAAAATAGAAAGTACAGTCTCCCTCCGAAACTTTTTTCTGGCTACGCCACTGTAGCCTATTCTAACATATAATTCCCAACACTTGGTCACGTCGTTCTACACTCTGTATTATTGAAACAACAAGAAAGTGACGCGTAACTAATAAATTAGCTGTTTTTTCATAAGAGCAAAATGTAAACTCTTTTTCTTGTCAGTAATAAAACGAAAATATTTGAGAAAACCGTTATCAGTATCTTACTATCACTTGCTATCATCCTACCGAAACATTCATTTATTTCACAATAATTTCATGTTACCTGAAATTTTTCATATCATTGTTTTCATATCAAGTAGAAAATGATTGTCATTACCTTGCTATTTCTTCGGAAATATTTGTTTACTTGTTAGCTTTAAATCTAATCCAATCTCGCTTATCAGTTGAGAGTCGTCTCCCTCATAGTCTATCAGGACATAATATTCAGAAAGTCCAATTTACGGAGATTCAACGGCCGTAATGGCGGGTGAAATCTCCTTTGTTTTCAAAGAGTCTTCTTCCATTTCAAGATAACAAAGATAGAATGTTGAAGACAAAGATAGAATGTTGCTAACCTAGACAGCACAAGATCTTCAGAAGATGTTCTTAGGACGCAGAGATATTTTCAGAAAGTTTTTAGGATGTTCTATGGAAATCTATTATCCAGATACACGATCAGGAAACGACCAAAAGTTCCGTTCATTTTATAACTTGCGAAAGAATGACTTAAGAAACGACGTTTAATGACACGTCCAACTCAAGCTCTTCCAAACGAATTTGCTGCACATCTTGTATGAACCAACAGTAAAGGCATTCACACACAAATTGACATAACATGAGATAGATAGCCAAGCCTGCAAAAGTCAGGTTTTGCTAAGTGTGTGCTGCATACTATGCTAATATAATTTTGGCAGTATTAACGAGATATGATTTACTATGTCAGATAGTGCGCGTACAAATGTAACAGAAATCTAACAAAATCTATGTCATGATATGATAGCAAAAATAGTGTAAAAAAGAGGCACGATATGTCAGCAGAGCAAGAAAAAAATTGAGTACAGACATGATTTTTCGACATGAAGCAACATAAAATCGAACAAAGAATGATGTCATATCATACGAACAGAAAGGCGTTATAAATTAAACTAATTAAGTAACATTATGAGACAACAGAAACGCGGCAGAAATCGATCAC